AGGGGGGAGGGGAGGGGGGGAGGGAGGGAGGGAGGGAGGGAGGAAGGAAGGAAGGAAGGAAGGAAGGAAGGAAGGAAGGAAGGAAGGAAGGGCCTAAATAATTATGACCTTCAAGGAGAAAACATAACACAACCTAAACATTCATCCTGCCTTTTTCCCCCAAGTACAGGATGAAGAACATCTTGAGAAGTACAAACATTTTCTCTAAAAAAAAACCATTGCGTAGAATCAGTTTGAGATCTGCAGGCCAGATGTTAACACAGAAGACCATTTTTGCCTTAGTGACCACAAGCTTAAATGTCATCTTTTTTTCCAGAAAGATGCTGGGTAATCACAAACGGTTAAAACAAAATGGCATGACTATGAACATTTTGGCTGAGATTAAGAGGAACTGGAGTCCTGGCAACTACAGAGCCACAAATTCATCAAGGTAATGAGGTGAGGGATGAGGTCTTGGTGAGAGGCGAATCTTCAGGGTTGCTTTCAATTTGGGACTCACATCCAGAGACCATGTTCAAAACAAGTCACTTTAGAAGATTAACATGGTTGATTTGCAATTATATGAGCCTAGCCATGCAGGGAGACTCTCTTGGATGTAACAAGAAAATTTATTTGGCAATAAAATAAACCCTTACCTGATAGATCTGTCTGTGGTGTCTGGTATAGCTTAGTAAATTCATCCGGATAGTTTTCCACCCAGTTCCAAAATGCCTAGACAATATTTGTCAGAAAGCACAATTAAATTAGAATACCTTATGCCACCAGACTTGAAATTCTAAAACTAGAAAACCTTGAATTACGCCGTCTTCGGTCTGACTTAAGCATGGTATATAAAATCATACATTGCAATGTCCTACCTGTCAATGAATACTTCAGCTTCAACCATAACAACACAAGAGCACACAATAGATACAAACTCAAAGTAAACCGCACCAAACTTGATTGCAGGAAATACGACTTCAGCAATAGAGTGGTCAATGTCTGGAATACTCTACCCGACTCTGTAGTTTCTTCCCCAAACCCCAAAAACTTTAACCTTAGACTGTCTACTATTGACCTCACCCCTTTCCTAAGAGGTCTGTAGGGGGCGTGCATAAGCGCACCATCGTGCCTACCGTCCCTGTCCTATTGTTTCTCTTATTCTTTTATTTTTCTTATATGTACCCATTTCATGTATTCACAACTATGTATACACTTATACTTATTATCTTGTAAACAATTGGCAAATCAAATAAATAAAATAAAAATAAATAAATAAATAAATAAATAAATAAAACAAAGAATACATTTTGTATAGGAGCTACATTTCTAGATAAATGATGCAATCATGTCCTTTCTGATTTCACATGAGAAAGCAAATACAGAAAAGCAAACACATAAAATGTTCCGCTCTTTCTCTGTAATGCATAAATCAACTCAGAATGTAACTAAATGTACTACTGTACTTACTAAGTTACCATTATGATGTGTATGACAGAAAAGAACATCATCTAACCTCATAATTCTGGCTTTTTGCTTATTTTAAACTAAAAGGTTCTTTTAGTTCTTTTCTTAGGGCTCGTGTATGTTCAATTAGCATGGCAAACTAAGAGACGCTTAAAACCAACCTACATAAAATTCCAATAGTAAATAACATACATCTCAAAAGAAATAAATTAAAAATGCAAAACACTTTCTTTGTTTGGTAAAACACAAACAGCATATTGTAGTGTTTTTCAACCTTGGCTATTTGAAGACTCCAATTCCCAGAATTCCTCAGCCAGCATGACTGGCTGGGGAATTCTGGGAGTTGAAGTCCACACATCTTCTAGTTGCCAATGCTGAGAAACACCAGCATAGTGTAAGCGAGTCGATCAATTCTTTCTTAACAGTCAATTATTTCTTCATCTTCCCTTAACTTAATAAAGGATGGAGAAACAGCTTATCTAGTATTTATATTGCTAGACTAGGAACAGGGAGGCTGTATTTTAGGTACTGAGGCCAGCTGAATGACTTTGGGCCTGTCACTCCCTTTCAGCTCTTGGAAAAAAGGCAATGGCAAACCACTTTTGAAAATACTGCCAAGAAAGCTGCAAAGACGTGTCCACTAGGACCCACTTAATTCAGGCAACTACTCCAGTGTCCCAAAGGTGCTTTTTCAGGAGGCAACTGGACTTTCTTCTTTTTCCTTTGAAGATGTTTCACTTCTCCTCCAAGAAGCTTCTTCAGCTCTGACTGGATCACCACCAAAAGAAAAACAAGGAAGTTCAACTGCCCCCTGAAAAAGCACCTTTGAGACAAACATGACCTGGATGACTGAGAATCTCCATAGACGTTTAACTACTCCAGTGAACAAATGCTGGTAAATCAGCCACAGGAAGTCTACAAAAGTCAGACTAGGCACAGACCAGCCAAAATATCAGTTTTCTGCTCCAATCCAACTGAACTCTTACTTCTGCTCTCTTTCCCTTAAATGAAATGTGGGTCCCCTTCCGGCTACAGATTCAAAATTGGAACAAGGGGAGGGGGCGGTGCTTCCACACTTAGTGAGACTACAGACTCCATTTCAGTTCAGAGGCACTTTGGCCAAATAAAGCCAGGGAGAAAAGGCTACAAGGTAGGTGCTGTCTTGGGGGGGGGAAAGCACCTGAACCAAACATGTTTCTGAGAAAATGGTAAAGATTATTCTTCTGCCCAATTAAATTCTTCTTCAAGTACAGGTAGTCCTCGACTTACGACCACAATTGAGCCCAGTATTTCCCTTGCTAAGGAAGACACTTAAGTGAGTTTTGCTCCGGTTTATGACCTTTCTTGCCACAGTTGTTAAGTGAATCACTGCAGATGTTAAGTTAGTAACACAGCTGTTAAGTGAATGAGGCTTCCCCCACTGACTTTACTTGTCAGAAGGTGGCAAAAGGGGATCACTGCAACGGCATAGTTACGGCTCCCAAGAATCCAAATGTTGATTTGCATGATAATGGGGGATGCTGCCACAGTTGTAAATGTGAAAAATAATCATAAGTCACTTTTTTCAGTGCCGTTATAACTTTGAAGGATTACTAAACAAATTGTTTTAAGTCAGGGACTACCTGTAACTTTTTAAATTCACTTGTTCAGCAACCCCACCTTACCAAGGTGACTCTAGGCAGTGAATATAATTTATAAAACATCACCAACGAAAATGTATGAACACAATGATCAAAATATAATTTTAAAAAGAAAAAAAAATGCAGCTGAGGATAATTCCTCAACAACTGTTGTCAACAACTCTCTTGAGTCCCACTAAGATCGTCCGTGAGATACTAAAACTTTAGGCGATCTCATGAAGGGTCAAAGATGGATTCAGGCCAGACAAAATAAAGGAGTTAACTTCAACTCTACAAATCCCAGACATGCACAATGCTCACAAATGTGAATGACATAAAACTGACAAAGACTGACAAAAGTCAACAGTGAAATATGCTCTTAAAAGAAGTGAGCATGGCTCCCAATAAAATTTAGACTAGTTTTCTGCAGAGCAGACAGTCCACAGCAACTAGTCAAGAGAGCTCTACTGATGATGATTGCAGTTTATCATTTAATACCATTTGGTCAAGCAGAAGGATGCTATTATTTTTCCATCCTTCTCTAGGTAGCCACTGCAGGGCAGAATACTGGATTCAGAGACTCCTTTAATCCTTGGAATTTTTTTTTTCTTACTATATTTGGCTACCATTTCTGGGCATAAAACAAAACTGGGCATGCACTGAAGATGACAGAAACATGTAAACACATCCATAGGCTTCTCTAATTGCACTGTTGGGAAACTCTACTTCTCTGCTCAAAGACAACCTGAAAAAGTTACAAGCAAGGGAAATAACATACCTTTTCAAGACTATTGATAACTGCCAGTTGTGCTGCTTTCTTGAGAGTTTTGAACTTAAAGACAGTGTCTGTAAAAATCAGAAAATGGGGAGTTCATATTGTAAATCAGACTTCACTTATCTGGTATCCTTGGAATATAGTCCCCATCATCTGCACGTAGCATTGTTAGGTGTGGAGGGGATGAAATAATTTACAGCCCAGCCTATGTGGAAAGTATTAACTGAGGAAAGCTTAGACCGTGATAAACAAAAAACAAAAATAGCCATTTGCTTTTATACATGTGGGCTTCCAATTTCAACAGTATCTTTTCAAAACATATAATCAGATGCACAGCTTTAAACTTTAAACTATCAAGAGCTTCGTTGCATACCTTGTAGTATCCGCTTTAATTTAATACAGTCCACACTGATGTATTGCAATAACTCAATATCATGGACATCAGCATTGTCTTCAGAGCACACTGTCAATTCCTGCAATCTGCAAAAATAAACACCCTTCTTAAAATAGAGGAGAAAGCTTGGGTGGTAAAGTGGAGAGAGATATTATAAGTGATTTTGAATCCACGAATGCAAAGGAATTGAAGATAACTCTTCAACCTCTAGAATTATGTTGAAAATGTACAGATGATGCAACAGAGTTAGGAACTCAGGATTTGAAATGATTCAATACAGGCAGTCCCCTGTAACTCTGTCTTTAACTTGAATTTGTATGCAAGTCAGAATGTGTACTTACAAATGAACTGCATGTTATTAAAATTGGCAATTGGGGTTGTCCTTCTGCGAGCCAACAAACCACAGAAGCCCCGCCAATGCTTTCAGGAACCATTGAAAATAGGCTGTATATTAAAAACATGCAGCTTCAGCAGTTCCTGAAAGTTCATCACCTTGAGAAAAAAGAATGCCACCCACCATTTTTAGTAATTGGCAGTTCAGTTGTATTTAGGGGTTGTCCTTAAGTCAGACTTTCTTAACTTGGGGACTGAGTGTATTTCCTTTTTCTATAAAGCTGCTGATCACACATCCCTACTTGAATGGAATTGCCTATTGATTTGACTCTAAGCCGCTCTACCATAAAACCATTTCTTGATTAAAAACTGGTAACGTTTCTATAAAGTTGTTTTAATCCCACCAATTTTATAAAGTGTAGTGAGAAATTTTACTGTGTCCACTACTCCATGTATGCTATGCTCTCCCCCTGCACAGACTATGTACTATATAGAAAATACTATGTAAATTACTTCTACTTTTTGACATACAAGGGCAACTAGACCAACACTTTGGCCTATGGCATAGAGCCACTACTTCACCATATAATGAAGTATCTGAATCAAACCTTTGCTCTATAAATATGAAGAGGAAAAGTATAATCAATTAACAGAAATTGTAATGGCATGCGGGAAAGACCTTGGGAGAAAAGATAAAGGGATGGTGCCAAAGGAATGGTCAGCTAAAAGGGAGCTTAGCCCACAGCTGCATAGTGGGTGCATCTAGAAGCTCAAAAGAGACCTTCCCTAACTTCTCAGGATGTAAAGGAAAAGGCAAGAGAATTGTACTTTCAGACTAGCAAGTTTCTGTTAATATAGCCTTACAATAAAAAAGAATGAGCTCATCGGGTAATGATTCCTATCCGGTTAACCCAGTAAGGCCGACAGCAATACAGTGTTAAGATAAAAGTAAAGGTTTCTCCTGCCTAGTTGTGTCTGACTCTAGGAGGTGGTGTTCATCTCCGCTTCTTAGCCAAGGGAGCCAGCGTTTCCAAAGAACTTTCTGTGGTCTTGTGACCAGCATGACTACCATAATGGCGAATCTATGGCACACGTGCTGGAAGTGGCACACAGAGCCATCTCTCTGGGCATGCCAGCCGTCATCTGTTGGTCTTCCAGGCTCCGGCGCCTGCAAGCACGCCAGCCAGCTGGTCTTCACATGTATGGGAGCGCGGGAAACTCTAAGAGCATCTCGGGAAGCTGAGTTTCTGGTTTTTGGCGTGCATCTGGTCTTTGCACGTGCATGCGTGCCAGAAACTGGAAGACCAGGTGGCTGGTGTGCATGTGTGTGCCAGAAACAGGAAGCTCAGCTTCCCCGAGCACACATGAGCACCGGGAAGCTGCTCTTCCGGTTTCCAGTGCTCCCTCACACACACGCTCCCATTTCAGCACTCAGTGCCGAAAAGGTTCGCCAACACTGCCATATACCAAGGTGCACAGAGCGCTATTTCCTTCCCACCAAAGTGGTACCTTTTTATCTACTTGCATTACATGCTAGGCTGGCAAGAGCTGGACCATATTAGCATCATGCAGCACTCGGCTCTGGAACCTGGGCTGTGAAGGCTTCAGCATCTTTAAACGCTGAGCATCCCCTCAGTGTTTGTATCCCCTACAGCGTTACGTATATGCTATTAATTTATATGCAATAAAGTCACTAATGAATTTTCCATGAGTACAGTTCCTTGATATCATTCACAGCTCCAGAATGAAGTCTGCCAAAAAACAAAACTTCCAACCGTTTATGCCCTGACCCCAATTCAATTATTTGTATAATTAAATTTACATGTCTATTTTCTTATTTTCTAAATGACTCGTGTTCTGGCCAGGGAGCTGCAAATAACTGAATCAGGTATTCAATGAAAGTTTGAGGGTGGGGGAACCCTGGTTGCCCATGTTTCAAATCTATAGAAGCATATCTGAAAACAGAAAGACTAAGGGAGTTGTTCATTTCATCCAGGCACAAAAATATTTAATTACTCCAGCCTGTCATGGGAATGTGATGGAAACCCCTCTGTTTAAAGCAAAAGCAGGGCTCTCCAGAGAAGCAGCAGCAATATTACACTTGCAGATGGGAGTCAAATGGCCACCTCTTTAATGCCTGTGCAACTGAGATCACAAATTAGAAGCATCAATTGAAATCAGCCCCTACCCATCTTCCCAACCAATACAGCTAAGATGAGGAAAGAGGGTGCCGAATGAAATGGTTCAAGAAGCATTATTGTTGTCTCCTGTCTCATGGCCCCCTCCTATGAATATCGGGTGACATGATAGTAGTGTTCCAATATCTAAGGGGCTGCCACAAAGAAGAGGGGGTCAACTTATTCTCCAAAGCTCCTGAAGGCAGGATGAGAAGGAATGGATGGGAACTAATCTAGGAGAGAAGCAACCTAGAACTACAAAAAATTTTTTTCCTGACAGTTAGAACAATTAATCAGTGGAGCAGCTTGCCCCCAGAAGTTGTGGGTTCCCTCCTCACTGGAGGTTTTAAGAAGAGATTGAACAACCATTTGTCTGAAATGGTATAGGGTTTTCTGCCTGAGGAGAGAGTTGGACTAGATACTAGTAGACCTCCAAGGTCTCTTCCCTCTGTTATTTTGAATGAGACGTCATCTATCCTAGACACAAGCTGTCATTAAGACATTTAGTAGAAAAGAAAAAGTCCACTTCCTTCAAAGCTAGATGCATGAAACAACTCTTTGGAACAGATGTTACAAAAGGTTTTCAAAGTTTAACTGACACAGCCTTTAATCATAGATCTGTCACTGTGATGACTAGGGCCCGAAGCTTTTCCTATCCAGAACATATTTCCACTCAAAAACTTGGCCTAATCCCATGCCTTTTCGGTGCACTGGAGGCTACATTTCCCAGAATTTTCAGTCAACATGGCCAATTGTGTAGATACAAAATGTGGAAGCTTTCCGACAAGTGGCATGTTTTGAATGCACCTGGTCTTGAAAGCTCATATTTTAAAGAAAATACTAGTGAGAATGCTTCTCACCATCATATCTATAACCTAGGATGCCCAGTCAATTTTTCCTTTTTTTTTTTTTTGCTTTCCTAGACAGATAGGCATACTTTCAAATAAAGGATTGCCTTGTGATCACCAACCACTTTAATTTCCTTAGGAAAAACATAAGCGTAGAACTATTCTCAGCAGTAGTTTATTTAATGTATTAAATATAAATTTTAAGAGGGTGGCAACTTGCCACATTATTTTCAGTTAAAAACAGACCTTTGCCCGTTTTCTATATTTATAATAGTTTAAATGGAATCTCCAGCTCAACACTATTGCTAGTCAAAAAAGATACAACAAAGCAGTCTCCCTCAGATCAGGAGGCTTGTCTGCCACGATCTTCTAATTTAAATACGGCGCTCAAATACAGGAAGTTCTTGACTTGTGTATCATAATGGAGCCTGGGATTTCCATCATAAACCATGACAGTCATTAGTCGAGGTATCGATATGACCAGACCCTATTTTGACTTTTTTTACAGCAATTGTTAAGCAAATCAATGTACCCCTATGGGCGAGTTTGAAGGAGACTTTAAGTATAGAGTAGTTTGTCTCTCAGCAATCTTTCCACTTTTATTTTAGAAAGAGAAAAGAAATCACACCAAAACTTGGCTGTTGACCATCAGATCTTAATGGTGCAATCTTGAAATGGGCCATACAAAGCCCAAAGGCTGTCAGTCTTTTTCAAGGACAGACAGCATGGGACGGAACTGGGATCGAAGTAACAATGGCCTCTGTGTCAGAAATCAAATTATGCTAGTGAGATCTATTATTTTCATTGCTGCACATCTTTTTACCCATCTTCATGTGTGCTCTTTCAAATGACAAAATTAATGTAAACCTTCACTGATAATTGAAATCCAAGCAAACAGCATACTATAAATAGATTACAAGGGCACAGGAGACAGGCTATCTTGGGTAGCAATATTTCATTCAACAATGTCTTTATCTTACAGTAAAGTATCCTACAGTCAGAGGGTGCCAGCACAACTTCAATGACATTTTAAAGAATGGCCCGGAAGTAAGACCTCCTCAAGCACTCACCTGGTAGAGATACGGCTGAACACCGCATTAAAATTGTTGCAGCTGAGAGAAAAGAGAACCCCAGAGGCAGAATTGCGTAACTCTGTAGCATGTTGATTCCCTTCACGGTAGGTGTGGATAAAATGGCAGATCTCTGGCAACAGTTGCTTGACCAACATTGTCTCATCCAGCCGCATGGTGTCTTTGGGTTGCTGGAAGACAAATGTTGAGATGGAATTGCCATGAGGCATTTCCATGGCTCTGATATTCCAGAGACCAAGGAAGTATCCTTTACTCGTTAGGCATCCAAGTATTTTTCTGTAAGGAAACTACAGAAATGTTCAAAAGCACGGCTGATTAAAACCTCCACTCTTCTGGTTATTTACCTAACTATGTGTGCTTCTAGGACCCAGTTGGGAATGTCTTTGTTTACCATGTGGTTTAGCCAGTGGTGGTATTCAAATAAAGTTGCCACTGGTTCAGTGGGCGTGGCTTGGTGGCCGCGCTTTGCGCGCATGCACACACCAAACATGCACTTTGTGTAGGTGCAGAGGCGTTCTAACTTGCCTCCTGCAAGCCTGCATGATGCTGGTTGCTGCAGCAGCTGCCGCGCGGCGCTATTTTGTGCCGTGCAAAGCAGCTGCGCTTTGAATTCTGGCCATAAAAGTGAGTATGGGAGCCCGGGCAGGCAGGTGGGCCAAACACAGAGCAGCAAAGAGAACCGGTTCGGTCTCCACTGCTCATCGCCGCTACCGGCTCTCCAGAACCAGGCAGAACTGGTCGAATACCACCACTGGGTTTAGCCGTTAACAGCCGTTCCATACCCCACAAAAGAGTCTGGAAGGTCAATACTTTTCATGGAGGATATAAGTGAGTGAAAAGCTAGAGAGAGTTCCTAGAGAGGACTCTAGGAAGAAAAGAGGTCATTTAAATCCCCAGTCAGCTGTTTCATTGACACAGCTAATTCATTTGCTTACTTATAGGGCAGAGATTGTACACTGTTTCAATCCAGGGGAATCATTGATTGGGAAAAATATTTTAATAACACACATGTCTATGGAGATTTTCAACCATCCAGATCATGATTGTCTCAAAGCTGATGTTTAAAAGGCAACTGAGGTTTTTTTTCCCCTTGAAAGCATTTCACAAGGCTTCTCGGATGTGAAGCAAAACATTTTCAAGGGAAAAAAAAAACACAAGAAAATCCAGCTGCCTTTTGAACAGCACCTTTGGGTTAATTGCAAACACAGCAGGAGCTATCTGAAGCTAAATCTAAATTAGGATTAGTTGACTGGCTCCACTGACCTTGTTTCTTTATTCACACAATGTGCTGGCCACATCCGGCAAGCACCAATTAGGCATGATATATGAACAAGGCCACCCTATGTCTGAAATATTGGGAAATATGTTAGTTAATTGTGGAAAAATACAGTACATTGGCCACCCTCACAGTCAGGCTAATTTGCTGCAGGGATTGATGCCGTTTCTTCAGAAATTTTTAAGACGGCTAAGCAAAGCAAAACAAGACACTGTGATCCTTTTTAGCATAGTATTCCACTGTAGAGGAAACTGTACGTTTCTCTCTTTTTCTGCATAAGGACTATTCTTCTACAGCAAGTCAGACTGAGCTAAAATGGAATCAGCCAGCTTGTAATTCAACGTTTTAGAAGATACTCATTCACTTCTTTAGTATGCTATGTGAATAAGACCACTGTGCTAAGTTAATCTGAGGAGCATAGCATTTTACGTGAAAGCAATAGTGACTTGTGTTAATGCAGTACATATTTAGGATTAATAATGTTGTATACCTTTGTAGGAATCCTTAAGACTATGAACTTAAAAACAGATGTCTCAATTCCCTTCAGATATTGGTTGTATCCCTAAATTATGCAGTACCTTTCTATCAATTAACTTTGCAATCTCTTTGAGAAAAAAAAAAGATTGATCATAAAGGATAACAGCAAAATGAAGCATAGAATTTAGAGAAGGAGTGGGAAAACTATGGCTACTTAACAACATGTGGACTTCAAAGCTCAGAATTCCTGAGCCAGCCATGCTAGCTCAGGAATTCTGGGAGTTGAAATCCACAGGTTGCAAAATTAAAATAGTTGACCACCCATTTTAGAACATCTGTCTGTCTGCCTGGAAGCATTTCTGCTTCTTGAGGGAAGGAACAAGACTGATAGAGACACTAACAAGCAAGAGAATACAGATAGTCCTCAACTTATGACCGATTGCTTAGCAACTACCTGAAGTCACGACCGGTTTCCCAAAAAAGTACTTACAACACAGTTCCAAAGTTACAACATCTACCTAACGCTGGTCACATGACTGCATTTTTGGCACATGGCAACCAACCTCCCTTTAAAGGCAATAGTGGTCACACGACCACAATTAGCATCCCACCCCTTGAAACTGGTGTTTATATTCATTTTCTTGGGTGGGTGGGTGGGGAATGCCCCATTGCAAACTTAAATCCTGTAGAAAAAGACTGTAAAATTGGGTGTGATCATGGCCATCACAAATTTAAGACCTTAATTATCAAGCTCAATTATGGTTGCAAGTCAAGAACTACCTGTAGTCAGCTCAATGCCGATGGAACCATATCGCTCCGGTCACCATCTTTACATTTAAGTTTATTCATCTTGAATTTGCAGGCTAAAATAAGGCAATGTTGAACATTAGGTAGTCCTTGACTTACAACCATTCATTTAGTGACCGTTCAAAGTTACAACAGCACTGAGTGTCAGAAGGCTCCTTGGGGTGCTACCCTACAGGGCCAGAGAGCGGGTTAATGGCAACTAAAGCAAACAAAAGGCTTTTCAGTGGTAACCCCTTCCCAGCAGAACTCTCTTCCCAGGGATGCTCAGACAATGCCAAGTCTGGGCAGAAGACTAAGCTTCTGCGTGCCCGGATTTTCAAAGTGCTTCCTTTTTATGGAAATTTAATGCTTCACATCAATTCTACTTGCACTTGGTTCTTTTACTGTGGTTTTATTTTTTTCCCCCTTTGGAAATTCTACTGTAAATAATTAATTCAAGCCCTTTGCAGCACACCGGGTGGAGCCGGGCTGAAGCCTGGTGGAAAAGTGTAATGCAATTAAAGAACTAGAAAGGGCATGCTAGGTTGCTCTGTTCTTCAGAGAAAGGTGCAATTTAGTTTCACAACACTATTTACAATTACTGGTAACACCCTTTCTGTGCCAGCCTCCACCCCCTCCCAAATTAAATAGCAACCAAGTCAAGAGAATTGTCAGCAGAAGTAAAACTCACCAGAAAAGGGGGAAAAAAGTCTTATTCCAGTCCAAGCTGAAATGAGACAAAATTATTGGCAATACAGTTAGCATCATCGTTTTGAGAGAAGAGTTGAGGTTTCTGAAAAGATTTGTAGAGTTCCAAACACAAAACAAAGTACTCAGACTTGGGCTTTTGCAGCATCATACTGTATTTGGGTGAATCATTAAGTAGTGTGGAAGGAAAAGCTGGCAATGGCCAGCAGGAGCTTCCATTTCTTTCTTCCCGTGTGTGTGTGTGTGTGTGTGTGTGTGTGTGTGTGTGTGTGTGTGTGTGTGTTCAAGGACAGTCAAAGAGCAGTAAACCATACCTGATTTCCAGTTATAAAAGTAAATGCTGTGTCGGAGAGTGAGAAAGAGAAAGAGGAGAGGAGGAAAGGGAATGAGAAAAGGGAACAGTGGGAAAGGAGAAGGGTGAGGGAAGAACTCGATCAGGGAAAAAACTCAATCAGGGCAAAGCAATAGACACAATCTACATAGACTTCTGTAAAGCCTTTGAGTCAGTGGTACACGACAAACTACTCCTAAAACTAAAATCTTAGGGTATCTCTGGACAACTGCATAACTGGATAGAAGAATTCCTGTCAAACAGACAACAAATGGTCAAAATTGGGAGTGCCCTATCAAATTCTGTACCTATCAACAATGGTGTCCCCCAAGGCAGTGTTCTAGGACCAGCTCTCTTCATACTCTACATAAATGACCTCTGTGATCATATTAAGAGCAACTGCGTTCTCTTCGCTGATGATGTAAAGCTGTTCAACACCACAGACAATACTGCTACCCTCCAAAAAGACCTCGACTATGTATCAGAATGGTCAATCAAATGGCAACTTCAAATCTCAACAAATAAATGCTCTGTCTTACATATTGGCAAAAAAAATCAGAAAATAAAATACAAGCTGAATAGTCAAGACCTTGTTGATGATCCAAGCTCTGTAAAGGACCTTGGAATACTCATCTCTAATGATCTAAGTGCTAGAGCCCACTGTAACTACCTAGACAAAAAGGCATTAAGAGTTGTTAACCTAATCCTACGGAGCTTTTTCTCTGGTAATATCACACTCCTAACTAGAGCATACAAAACATTTGCTAGACCAATACTCGAATACAGCTCATCAGTCTGGAACCCATATTACGTATCTGATATTAGCACAGTTGAGAAAGTCCAGAAATATTTCACAAGAAGAGTTCTCCACTCCTCTACTCTACTCTTTGCAGAATAAATTATGCCACCAGACTTGAAATTCTAGACCTAGAAAACCTTGAATTACGCTGCCTTCGGTCTGATCTAAGTATGGTATATAAAATCATACATTGCAATGACTTACCTGTCAATGAATACTTCAGCTTCAGCCATAACAACACAAGAGCATACAATAGATACAAAGTCAAGGTTAATCGCACCAAACTTGATTGCAGGAAATACGACATCAGCAACAGAGTGGTCAATGTCTGGAATACTGTACCTGACTCTGTGGTTTCTTCCCCAAACCCCAAAAACTTTAACCATAGACTTTCTACTATTGACCTCACTCCTTTCCTAAAAGGTTTGTAGGGGGCGTGCATAAGCGCACCAATGTGCCTACCGTCCCTGTCCTATTGTTTCTTTTTATTTTTCTTATAGGTATCCATTTCATGTATTCATAATTGTGTTTATACTTATACCTGTTATCTTGTAAGCGATTGACAAACCAA